TAATACCCCCCCCAAACATTTGAGGGATCAACATTGATATTCAAGTTCTTTATTCTACCAAACGAAAAGAGTTACATCTATCTACTACCTCCTGCCATCATAATTTTATAAAATAAATGACATTTTAGTGTCAAAAAAAGTGAAAAGGACAAATTAACATATGGTCTATTTAAGTGAATGCATACAGGTATAAAACTGCCCTATACTGTCTTTATTGTTACATCTTGCAATGGATTATAAAAAATTTCTCCATAGACTGGTGGCTGAGAAGCACTGATTCAGAGCAAACCATCAACTCCCAAACGAGAATTCTGAGGTGGAGTGATTTGTCACAGGCAGTACAATCCTTCAGCTACAGAGCTGGGTCTAGAACCTGAGTCTTTTCACCCCTGACCTGGTGATGGGGTCATGAGAGAGGGACAGCACACTAACAGTTCGATGAAGGAGAGCTCACCTGCAGCTGAAAAATGTAAGGGATGTTGTAAGAGGGAATGTTAGGAGGGTTTATATCTGTACCGAACTTGAAGAGTGGAAGGAATCTAGACAGATAAAGAGGAACGGAGAGGTCATTCCTGGAAAGACAACAGCACGAGCAAAAGCAGGGCGGCTACAAAGCGCAAACCATGGTAAAACTCAAACCAGATCGCTGAACTCTTGTGGATGCATGACGAAGACGAGCGGAAAGTGACCCCAGAAATGTAGCTGGTAACTAGCTACAGAGGACCTTAATAGGAAGACTTGGGATCTCGGGCTTTACTCCCTTAGGCGCTGGGGAGTCATAGACAATTAGTGACAGAGAAAGGATGCAATCAGAGCTGTGCTCTAGGAAGATCCATCCCTCAGCGAATATACGTGATGGCTCATGAGACATTAAGCGTGCAGTCCAGGTGACTCAGCTGGAAGCTGTCACCACAGCCTAAGCTGGAGGGAGGGCAGGTCCAGAACGAGGGCACAAGCAATGAGAGTAGAAAGTAGAAGATATTCCACTAGTAGAAGCAACACAGCGTAATGGCAGATCGGACGTGTGGAGAGTCAGGTGTCCAGCTGGTCTGGCTGACGAGATAGAAGCCAAGAGGAGATAGACCTTAACAAAGGAGAGGGCTAGGAGGAGTGACAATGAACAGTATCGCTTGGAATATTTTGCTGACCAGCAACAAAACACCAAGTTCCCGCCTTTCAAGTGTGGACTTGCTACAACTCTGTTGGTCTAGACCGTTGTGGAGGTTACTAAATAGTTGACAGACATGAACATTCTAATAATTTTTAATACTTGTGTGTGTTGACTGCCTCTGCTTGAAAACAAGAAATTGTTTCCAACCCTCATTAAAAATCATGCAGAAAAAAAAGAGGAAGAAATTACGATTTCAGAGCTAACAGAGAACTTAGAAAACACAGGCCAATTGCTCGTTTTCCTGAAGAAGAAATCGAAGCCCAGAAAGAGAATACCTTGCTCAGAGTGACACAAATAGCTAGTGGGACACTTAGGACAAAAACCCAAGTCTCTAAATGCCTAGCCCACTGCTGTCCTTCCCTATCCAGGAAAGGACACTGCCTGAATCTGACTGACTGAATAACATTTCACTTCAATTCCATTCCTTCCATTGTCCTTCCTTCACTGAGTTCCTGAGAACAGTGAGGACCCCCCACCCACCCCCTGCCCACTGACTTTTCCTCTTTCCTCTCTCACAGGCCTCCTAACCATTCCCTTAAAAAGAAATACATGAGGTAAATACTTTTGCCATAAAATATTAATCGTTCCCATTCAAGAAAGTTGAGGGAGATAAAAACAGTAGTAGGTGATATAGCTCACAAAAGAGAATAGTTTATACTACCCGGCATCTTCATGACAAGTCTGAAAATTATTGCTAGGTAACAGGATGCAGACCCCAAGATGCCTGGGGGAGAGACCTGAGGTTAGTTTGCTTTATTAGGAGACACTGTGTTATATGAAATCATATCTACACAGCCAAAGGGAATGTTAAATAATCGTGCCTGTTGATGTGAGACTTGTTAAACAGGCAAAAGCTGTTATCTTGATTTCAAACTGCACAGAATTGAGTATGTGTGACTCATCTATTTTGAATGTCAGCACATCATGAATTCACCAACGTGACTTGAGAACAGAAAGATCAAAGTAGTTGCCTATTGGTTATAATCCCTTCAAGAGCCAATGCACGTCCTCCAACTCCCAACGATTCACTTTCTCCTTAACGAGCAATCTATTCTGTAAAATTGCCTCTACTCGCCACTCCCCTTCATGCCTGTGCAGACCCTGCTGTTTACCAATTCAGGCTGACTGCTATGAATCAGATGCCAGGTTTGCGTCAGCAACTTGACGTGTGTTCCCTCATCGAGTCCTCGTCACTAACTCGATGAGGCCAGGACATTTTCAGACCAGGAAACACGAGTGAAAGGGGTTAAGAACCTTGTTCAAGTTTGTCAGTTTGTCAGTGGAAAGGTCAGAAATCAAGCCAGGTATGTCTGCCACTGAATGCCATGAAGTTAATCATGGCGTCCTGCCCCCAGCAAACCACCACTGCCCCCCCACCCCGATCCAGAAAAAGACAAAATATTTATACAAGTAGAATGTACTCAGACACGGGAACGCTGTCTATGAAAGAAGGTAGAAAAGTGCAAGGGATTTCAGGTTTCCCTGTTAGCTCTTCTTTTATTGTCACAGTGAGTTGTGGCTTTCTAATTTCAGCTTGGGTCACAGTACTGACCCTATTAGCCTCTACAACCAATCTCAGCGAGGCAGTAGAATGTTCATTCGCCAGTGTCCTAGTTTGCTGCACACACTAAATTCTGAAGTTGTAGTATTTGTTGCCACAATCTCTACCTTCATGAGAAACTAATGATTAAGATGGTGGGTGAGTGTTTTGGAAAAAAGTCCAATCAGTGACTCAAATAACTTAGACTCGTGCTCCCCCTCTCCTGAACCACAGTTAATCCCAAGGTCCCAGTCGCTGCAACGGGCATGTCTATATTGATGCTCTATCTTGTTTCAGAGTTTGCAAAAATTTTTCTGATCATGAAAGTTTCCTGTAAGGACCCTCGATGGCCTCTGCTCTTTTACTATCTCAGGAGTTTGAGAGGGTTCAATAGTTTTTAAGTAGCACCCGAAGCAAACTAAAACTCTTCCTCTACTTTAGATCAAATGTGGCATCCACCAGGAAAATCTGAAGTTGGGAATGCTTTACAGCTGCTGAGAAAGCCCAGCAAGCAGACAGTACTTGTCTACCAGACTAAGGGGTTGTTGTATATCAAATGCCTCTGGAGGCAAAGAACATCTAAAAAGTCTTATCCAAATGCGCTATGAAAGATTAAAATAGGGGCGCCTGGGTGGCGCAGTCAGTTAAGCGTCCGA